AGCCCAATTCCCAGCCCTGGACAGTATAGCAAACTGTCTCAAGGTTTTCCTGGTTTTTCCCTCATTATATATATATATAATTTCCCAGGTCACGTAGACAATCTTTGATGACTGAAAAAAGTACTAAGTTAAAATGACCTTGAGTTGAGAAAAAATTTATTTGGCAGAAACTGGGCTTGATAGTACAGTGAAATTTTAGTGTAATGTGTTCTTGTTGTAATTAAATAATTATTTCTGCAAAGGAAAAATTGGTAAATATGTAAACTTTGGTTATAATTGGTTTTTTTTAAATGTAAGACAATATATAAGCAGAAGGAAATTAGCCTAATTTAAATGAAGTATCTGAAGCTGTTTTTTTTTGGTTTGCTCTGTGACTGGTTTGAAGGTAAGTGTCATGTTGTTGGTGGCTTTTGCCAGGCTTCTCCCAACAGAGTAGAAGTGATAACTGGTAACTTAACCTTGTCAATTACCACCTCCTTTTCTAATAGCAGTTCTGAAAAGGAATTTGGTAAGGCCAATTTTGGTGCAACTCCTGTCAGTACAGTGGCCAAAATAATAAAGGCAGGAGTTGGAATGATTGGATGGGATTCTAGCATGAGGGCTCATGTCCCAGGGGCCGTAGATTCTCTTTTACTCTGTTGGGATGAGTCTGGTTTTTTTTTTTTTTTTTTTTTTTTCTTCCTACTCAGAGGGGTTGCTAACTTCATCTTCTCTCCTCTTGCTGTCATCTGCATTCGTGCTTCCCACCTGTTGTTGGCATGGCCTTTATCTCTTTCCCTGCCACCTCAACCTACACACTGACTCATCACTGCCTGAAGATGTGGAAGATGTCAAGTTTGTGATCAACTATGACTATCCAAACAGCTCAGAGGATTATGTGCACCGCATTGGCCGAACAGCCCGCAGCACCAACAAGGGCACGGCCTACACCTTCTTCACCCCAGGAAACTTAAAGCAGGCCAGGGAGCTGATCAAGGTGCTCGAGGAGGCCAACCAGGCCATCAATCCCAAACTGATGCAGCTGGTGGACCACAGAGGCGGCGGCGGTGGCGGGGGTAAGACTAAGGCCTGGCGGTAAACCAGGTCCTGCCAAAGTATCATCCTCCTGCTCATTGTGTGTCTTGTTTTTTGGATCTTGTGAAGGCTCTAGGTTGGATATTCCACAGAGCCCAGGGACAGAATTGGGTAGTTTCCATAAGCTCTACTAAATATGCAAATGAAGTGGAGCATAGTATTTGGGTAGATGATAATGTGAAGCATGTGGTGTGCTTGCTTTTTCATATCGTAAATACTTAGCTGGTTTTTGCAGCTCTCTGCCTATGGGGTGAGTAGGGATTTTGCATCATCTTGTAGTAGAGACTGAGGTGTTAGTGGGAGCCCCACAAATGTAAAATACAGTAGGACCTGCGCTTCCTCAGTGCTACTTCCACAGTCTAATATTATGTTGGTCAGCTCAGGGAAAGCACCTTGAATGTTAGGCATACTTGTGACGTGCCCCCTCACTGACCTGTGCTGTTCATCAGACTGGCTTCATTAATGACGACAGGGGCATGCTGAATACCTCAGTGTCCACTGGTGCCCTCAGAGGCAGTTCAGCTTGAATCCTGTACTTGGCATTTACCATTTCCTTATATCCTCCCATCAGGAGGTCGCTCTCGCTACCGGACCACCTCGTCGGCCAACAACCCCAACCTGATGTATCAGGATGAGTGTGACCGGAGGCTCCGAGGCGTCAAGGACGGTGGCCGGAGGGACTCTGCAAGCTATCGGGATCGTGGCGAAACCGATAGAGCTGGTTATGCTAATGGCAGTGGCTATGGAAGTCCAAATTCCGCCTTTGGAGCACAAGCAGGCCAATACACTTACGGCCAAGGCACCTATGGGGCAGCTGCTTATGGCACCAGTGGCTATACAGCCCAGGAATATGGGGCTGGCACTTACGGAGCTAGTAGCACCACCACAACGGGGAGAAGTTCACAGAGCTCTAGCCAGCAGTTTAGTGGGCTAGGCCGGTCTGGGCAGCAGCCACAGCCACTGATGTCACAGCAGTTTGCACAGCCTCCAGGAGCCACCAATATGATAGGTTACATGGGGCAGACTGCCTACCAGTATCCTCCTCCTCCCCCTCCCCCTCCCCCTTCACGCAAATGAAACCACTCAAGCCACAGTGATGTGTGCGAACTTCATGACATTGAAAGGAACACTGTCTTTTCTCTCCCTCTTTTTTTTCCCCCCCTCAACCATTGTGATTTGTCTTTTCATGCAAATTAGTTAGAACTCACTGCCAGGTTTTTTCTGCCCACCAAAGTGATCCAGTCTGTAATAACAGATTTTGTAAAATTATATATAGCCAACTGGAAGAGATTCATTTCTTCCCCCAGCTTCTTGCATGTTGAGGATACTGAGCTTTTTTTCGTCTTAAGAGAAAAAGTAAGGTGTTAAGCCATTGTGTTGGAGCCCCATTTTGTCAGTCTGAGTTTGGTGGGGGGAGATGCCGATTGGCGGCCTCCCTGAGCTGGGAGCCCCAAGGATTCTCCTGGCACAGGCTCCTCAGGCCCATGGAATTCTCCTTTTGTTTTTTAAGACGGCTTTGCCGCTGTCATTCTGGCTGATTGGTGGCTTACATACATTTCACATTTAAAATTTCTGATTGGTTTTGACTTACACTCTGCCTTCCGCTCTCAGTTATTGAAAAAATAATGATTTTAGTGTCAGGCTAGAGGTTGAATGGTTGGCTCTGGATTTAAGTGTACCTTTAATAGGTATACGTGTTCACTTGCAGAGTTGAAGTGGTAGTATCCGAGCCTCTAGGTGGAAGCTTCCTGTTTTTTTTACTTTTATAACCAGGGACCTCCTGTGACATTGAGTTCCTCTCCCAGACAGCTGCAGTAGCAAATGAACATTAATGCACTGCAAATTAGCCACATTTTAACTGGTTGGGTCTATATGCTCAGTTGTGGCGTAAAGGGCACCTTTAATTCTAAATATCCTAAAAACGGGCAATTTTTCCTTTTCAACTTGCTATTTAAAAAGCAACACTTTGCCAGTTACTCTGCCCTTTTGGCCAAGTTATCTTGAGCGAAGCATCTTAAAAAATTTGCTGAGACTCTTCCGCATGCCCTGCCTGGCCAGTGCTCAGACAGCTTGTGGGTGCCAGCTAGCTTCAGCATCCCTTGTCCTCTGCTTTTCCAGGTAGGTAGTGCTTGAGAGGGTTGAGGTCGAAAGCCCAGGTCCTTTGTACTTGCCCTCCATCTGCAGGTAGGTGAGCGCCCTCTTTGTGGTACTGTCTGGCTGCCCCCCTCGGGTAGGCCTGAGAGGATTTCCTCTTGGTCACAGTGTAGGCTAGAGTGACCCGACAGTCCCAGAAGCCTCTCCAGGTCCACTGTGGGACTGCTCATTTGTCTGCTCGTCAGTATTGTCCCTGCTGCCAGGTTGCTGAAGGGGCAAGAGCCCGTGCGTTCTGAGAGTGCACACTGCTTTCCAAGAAGTAAATACTGAGGGGGTTTTGGGGGGGTTGGTTTTTTGTGTTCTCTCTTTTTTTTTTTTTTTTTTTTTTCTTGTTTGGTTTTGTTTTCCCCTTGAAAATCTTCAGGGAGAGAAGGGATGGTTTCTGAAGGGTTCTAAGAGTTAATGGGCAACTTCGAGGTAGGTTGTCAGCGCCAACTGAAAGACATGCATGTAGAAACTTCTGCATTCTTTTTATTTTCGACTTTCTTCTTCCTTAACTTGTCTTTTTCTCCCTCGTCTTACAGAAGTTGAGGCCCAGGGAGGATGGTAGGCACTGAGAACACGCAGCAGAACTGCTGTGCTTCACACCAGAAAGCCCCTTCCCTCACATTGTGCCTGAGCACTGACTGTGGTAGCGTCCTTCAAAATCTGGTTTTTCTTAAACATGGAGGCTCCACTCCAGGGGTGCTCTCCTCTCGTGCAACTTGGAAAGCCGCCACTTGAGTGGGCACACGGGCAGTGTTTGGCTTGCCAGCTTCCCTTGTCCACCAGGGATGCTGTCATCCTAAAGTCAAATAACAGCAGATTGCGCATTTCCAAAGCTACAAGGCCGGGGCACGGCTGAAATCTAGCAGAATTCCTCCTGCCTCCGTGTCCGTCCCGCTGTGGCTTTGGAACATGGGCAGAAGACTCCTCACTGCGTTCGCGGGGGAGGGGTGTCAGTGCTGAGCTGTGGCTGCTTCTCCCCGTCCTTCCTATCCATGCATTGTGTGGACGTGCCGTCATCTTAAAGGTTGGTGGTTCTTGCTTGGGATCAGTGCTCTCCTTGTGTCCTTGCTGGTCTCTGAACACATTCCTGTTGTGTTAAGACTTGAAAGGTTGGTAGATGTGTAATGTTCAGGCACAGGATGCTAAGAGCTATGTTACTATTCTTAGTTTGTAAATTGTCCTTTTGATACCATCTTGTTTTCTTTTGTAGGTATAAATAAAAACACTGTTGACAATAAGCCATGAGTTTTATTGCATTCTTTAAGTTGGAGGGTAGTTTTTTGTTTCAGGACAAACACTCGGGGGTGTGGGCTGGGTTCACTACACACCTAATATTACAAGGGAGCTGATGGGCATCTCAAAAAATGGTGGGCTAACCTTGGGCAGGTGCTTCAAGAAAACAGTTGGCACATGAGTGGCTGGGTAGTGCTTCAGAGTGCAGGGCTAGTGCGAGCTACCAGAATACCAGCCTGTTTTAAGAGTAAGGCGCAAAGCTCAGCCTGTACCAAAGTTTGGTCTGTTTGTGGCTTGAGGGCTCACACGGAGCCTGTCGCCTTGACTACCAAATTTGGTTCCCTGGAAAGGGAGTGTTTCCACAAGAACATAGTGCCATTGTGTGTACTTGGGGTTGGCTGGTGTGTGGCATGAGGTTTGGGACTAGGGCCCTAGAGGAGCAGCAACTGGCTCTACTCACAGACTTGGCACCTGAGGGCTGCTTGTTCGGTTGGCATTGTGAAGTGCCGTGCTCAGGCAGCTGGTCTGCATCTTTGGTTTCCTCTAGCTGGTGTTTCGGGGAGGGCCTGCTGTAGGTGGTCTAGTCAGTCCTCTGCTGAAGTCCATGCTGATCAGTCTTCGGGACTCCAGTCATGCTTAGGTTCCATTGCCAAGGAGAACACTAAGAAGTTTGACTCTTGGTTCTTGTAAAGAAACAGACCACCTGCCCGAGGGTCCTCAAATCGGCATTGGAAGGCTTAACTTCTTCCCTTTGAGGACTGGAAGAAAGGGGAGATGAAGATGTCTCCATGAGGAAAGGGCGGCCACACCACAATCTTACCACTTTTTACACCCTGTTCATGGAGGATGGCACAGTACAAACACAGGCCAGATTTTGCAGCTGGCCTCCATTCCTTCGTAACTCCACCTCAAACCCTCTTGTCCCCAACTTTGTCCTCTTCCTCCCTGTGCTTGGTAACCTTATCTGTTACACGGTAGGTGCAGGGCAGGTCGCTGACTCCACAGATGCCCACGATGGCCAGGCTGAACCTAGGAGCCTTGAAGGGGTGGCAGGGACCCAAGTACCATGAGATGGTGCTACAACCTCCCAGGACTTCACCCCATTAACAGTGATGACACGATCTCAGGTGGGGTCCTAAGCACTGTGCTAGACACCCCAAGAGCTGTCTGTGACCATCAGGAAGTGATGCCAACCCCTTACCTAGCCTCAGGCCTATGTGAACTGAACTCTCAGGTGGACAAATCTTCGGGCCCCTTGGCTCTGTGCGTTGCACCAAGCTGCTGCTTATTGTGCCCTTTGTGCATGAACAGGCATTCCCACTGTCACCCGCAACTGTGCCCTGTGACAGCATGTATTGGTAATCACGGCACTACTTGTTCCTGGAAAATGACAACCCGGAACCTGAGCCCCAGGAGCAGCCGCAGCTTGACGCCATTGCCCTCCACGGCCTAGCGTCCTCGGGCCGGGGCCAGCCGCACCTACCTTTGGTCACATACAGGTAGAAGAAGTCACAGTAGAAGATGGTCTGCACCACACCAGACACCACTGCGATCTGGTCGTAGAAATTCTCCGTCTGGTACCGCCTGATCCAGTTGGCCAGATAGAGTGCCCGGTACAGACCCAGGAAGAACAGGTAGTGTGTGGTGATGGTCTCCGCCTCGCCGGTCTTGCTGATCATGAAGAGCTGCGGCAGGATGGCCACCGACTCCAGATAGATGGAGAAGGTCCAAAGAATCTGCATCAGAGCAGCCAGGGGAGGTTGAGCCACGCCGGGAAGGGGCTGCAGGCGTCTCCCTGCCCGGAACACTGGGGAAGCAGCGGAGGACCTGCCAAGGCTGGGGCTTGTGCACCCAGTGGGAAACCCTGCTGCCTGGCCCAGCCCTCGCTGTTACGATTTGGGGAGGAAACCAGCGCAAACGGAAGATCTCTCTGCCTCTCCCTAATGCTTGCCCAATAAAGAAAAAAAAAACCACGTTTTCAAACAACCTATCAGTATATCCTTACTGCGGTGTAAATGTTTTAGGAGGTTCTGCCCAGTATGTTTCATACCATAGCATGACTTTTCAATAGAACATTGTGGAGCTTACTGTAGAAACGTGACAACATTGAAACCAGTGTTCAAAACAGTGTCCAAGTCCTCCAAGGTGCCCACCACCCCAGCCCTGTGGACTCAGCCGCTCCGGGCCGGGACTGTGCCCGCTAGTCCTCTGCCAGGCAGAAGGCCTCAGCAACCCGGGGTGGAATTGTGAGCCAATTTCTTCTAAACTTAGAACTGCTCAGTCTGAGTAATGGCCATGGCGGTCACGGCTGTGGCAGACAGCAAACCCAGCATCGCCCGCGGCTGTGCCAGCTCGTGGGGATTAACACCCGAGACGCCCCTTACCTCCATGGGAGTGAAACTGTAATTCTCCAGGAAGGAGAGGCCAATGACTGGAACCAGAAGGAACTCCAGGCGGAATGTGTCGTTCTCACTGTCAAACGTCCTCCGAAACTTCCCGTATATCATGTACACTGTGACGTAGGCACAGAGGAGGAACACCACCTACAAGGGGGAGATGTGAGATGCCAGGCTTTGTGTGCCACCGGTCCTGAGAGCAGGTGCTCTGTCAGCATGCCAACAAGGTAGTGTGAGTATGGTGTCCTGGAACCTGAAGGTGACAGCCCTGGGTTGGGCAGGGAGTACAGCAGGTACGCCCTGAGGCTCACGCCTCGGAATGTGGCCTGCTCCCTGCGACTGTGCACCGCGAGGCAGCTGCGATGCTTCATGTGCTTGGGTCCGTGTCCCCCACATCCGAGCCCATGATGGAATTCCCCACTCCAGCTTCAGTCTGGCCCAGCTCCAGATATTGGTCATTCATTTGGTGAATGATCTCTCTCTTGCTCTCTGCCTTTCTTTTCTTTTCTTTTTTAAGATTTATTTATTTTTATTGCAAAGTCAGATATACAGAGAGAAAGATCCTCCATCCGATGATTCACTCCGCAAGCGACCGCAATGGCCAGTACTGTGCCGATCCGAAACCAGGAGCTCTTCCGAGTCTCCCACGTGGGTGCAGGGTCCCAAGACCCCAGGCCGTCCTCATCCACTTGCCCAGGCCACAAGCAGGGAGCTGGATGGGAAGCGGGGCCACTGGGATTAGAACCAGCGACCTTATGGAATCCCGGTGTGTTCATAGGTGAGGACTTCTAGCTGCTAAGCCAACGCACCGGGCCTGCTCTCTGCCTTTCAAAGGAAGGTATTTTCATTTAAAAGAAAAAAAAAAAAAGTTTACTGTAAAGGCTCATTGGATTTACAGAGAGGAGAGACAAAGATCCTCCATCCACAGGTTCACTCCCCAAACGGCAGCAACAGCCAGAGCTGAACCAGGAGCCTGGAGCCCAAGGGCCATTCTCCACTGCTTTGCCAGGCCACAAACAGGGAGCTGAATTAGAAATAGAGCAGCTGGGACTTGAACCAGCGCCCATGTGAGATGCCAGCACTGCAGGCAGAGGGTTATCCTGATGTGCCATGGCACCAGTCTCTCAGATGAAGGTTTTTAAAGTGCTCTTGAAAACAAGTGGGTATCCCACTGTTCTTTCCTCTCTCCTTGCTGCTCCGTGGCATCCTAGAAGACATCACATTCAGGACCGGCAACAGAACTTGCCAGGCCCATTACAAAGTGAAGATGCACTGCAATTAGGAATCCGTGGCTAGACATCTGCACGAGTCTTGGGACATCCGTATTCCGCATGGGTGTATCTGGCTTCAAGTCCCACCTCCACTGCTGACTCCAGCTTCCTACCAAGACACTTCCGGGGAGGTCGTGGCCCTGTGTTCCTTCCGCCCACGTGGGAAACCTGCAGCCCCAGCCCAGCCCAGCCCAGCATCGGGCGTGGACCTGCAGGTGGGAACTGGTGCTATCAATCTCCGTGCAACCTCTTCGGGTGGGGTCCTGCTGAACAAGCGACACGCCCAGGAGTTCAGCAGAAAGCTAAAGGGACCCAGGACATGGACAGGGTGGTCCAGCCCATGTGGGAGAGGAGAGAGAATAAAACCTCACGTGGTCCAGGGCCTGGAGCAGCAAAAAAGAGCTGAGAAAGGCTCTGTCACGTGAAGCGCAGCCCCTCAAAGCCACACACAGCACACCCACACTGAAACCCCACCCCAACAACACCCGCTCCTCCCAGCACACAGCCCTCGCCCCCTTCTGCTCCTGCCCTCAAGACCTCTAGGGCCTTCCCAGTCATTCTCTAATACTTAACCCTATTTTTAAAACCTCTTTTTTAATTGGAAAGAAATCTGAATTAAAATAGGATTTTAATGATTTGCCACATTTTATCCCCAACCAGGTCTCCTTGTTTGTTTATAATGTGCTCCCTCCTCTGTCTCTCTCTCTCTCTCTCTCTCTCTCACACACACACACGAAGATGAGGTTCCCGACAAGAGGGGCTTTGAGCAACAGAGCCCAAAAAGGCGCATGGAAAATGGGCACTATCTTTTCTCTACTTCTCCATGCAGATCCAAAGCTTCCTTGTCTATATTCTTTAGGTACCTGGCACAGTAGGGAATTAGAAAGATTTGCTGGAGGTGGGGGCAGTGTTAGGGTTCAGCGGGTCTAGCCACCAACACCAGTATCCCGTTGGAGCCGGCTGCTCCACTTCCGACCCAGCTCCCTGCTAATGTGCCTGGGAAAGGAGCAAAGGACGGCCCAAGTCTTCGGGCCCTGTACCCATATAGGATACCCGAAAGAAGCTTTGGGCTCCAGAACAGCCCATCTCTGGCCACTGTGGTCATTTTGGGAAGTGGACCACAACCAGTGGATGGAAGATTCTCTCTCTTTCTTTGTTAACTCTGGATTTTAAAACAGTATATCTTAATTTTGTTTTTTCCTAGGTGTCAGCATACTCTGAACCTTTTGCTAACCTCCAAGCCACAGTGAGGGCAAACTTCCCCAGAACGTGTAGGCATGCTGTCAGCATTTATTCCCCTCTCTAGCTTCACTGGGCACATGAGACAAGTCAAGGACACAGGACAGAGGCCACACCCACACCCAGCGCTACACACACACACACACACACACACACACACACACACACACACCTGCATCCCGGCCACCTCACCTCCTCACCTTCATTACTGTGTTGTAGATGGAGATGAAGTTGGTGAAAAGGTCCAAGTACCTGGTGGTGAAGACCAGAGCAAAGAGGATCTGGCTCTTCCCAGAGATGCCTGCAGCAGAGGGGACAGGGGACAGTCAGGACACAGACTGTGCAGCCAACCCCGAGAAGTACAGAGCACGGCTGGCTGGCTGGCTGCCCTGGGCTGGGCCACCCAAGGAAGGCCCAAAGCCATGGGAGCCAGTACCCACATGGGAGGGAGACACAGAAGAAGCTCCTGGCCCCTGGCCTCGATCGGCTCAGCTCCAGCGGCTGCAGCCACTTGGGGAGTGAACCGGCAGACGGAATATCTTTCTTTTTGTCTCTCCTTCTCTGCAAGTCTGCTTTTCCAATAAAAATAAACCTTAAAAAAAAAAAAGTAAGGACAAAGCTGCCCAGGCTCCCTGGATGCCTCCTTCCAGAGGTTTCCCCACAACACACATCCCAGTGGTGCCTCCAAAGTTTGTGTGAATAGAATCAAAGATCACTTTGGTTTGGGTGCAAGACACTGGGAGGTGGCCCGCACATAAGGGACCCTCAGAAAGTTTCAGGAAAATGCACACGATTGGAAACTACGGGTGGACATAAGCCAAGCCACACCGAAATCGGCTCCACTTTGGTCCCACTTGGTACAAACTTTCTTTTAAAGATGTATTTTTTTTTTTATAAAGACAGAGAGAAGGAGAGACAAAGTGAGAAAGACAGACATTCCACCTGCTGGCTCACTCCCCCACATGCTTGGAATGGGTGGAGCTGGCCAGCAGCCAGGAGCCAGCAGATTCTTACGGGTCTCCCATGTTTTCCATGAACTTTTTGAGGGCCCCTCCCACGTGCACACATGACACACGGGTGCATTGAGCTGACAGCCGGGGGAACACACCCAAACCCTTGCCCCACGTCCTTGTGTCCCCATGTCCCCGCATCCCCCTGACCTCCACGCTGCATCTAAATCCCAGGACTATTGGGCTGGGCGCTTCCGCCTGCGCTGCACACTCCACACCCAGTTCACCTGCCTTCCCACTGCCACAGAGCTACGTGGTGTTTTATCAGCAGGCTCTTTGGCCTCCAGGGGTCTTTTCACAGGGGTGGTTCTGGGGTGAGGCACCCCATTTTTCTCTTCCCCTGTCAGACCCCCACCCATCCTGACCTAGCCTCTAGCACCTCATCTAACGGCTCTCATCTGGGACACCCTCACCACAGACCCTGCCCGCTCCTCCCCCAACCTCAGTCCACCCGGAAACCCCAGGGCTATTTCAAAAAAATAAAATTCTGCTCCGAGCTCCCATGTGGCTTCTAAATGCCCAGAAAATACAGGTTCCAGGCCTGTCACGGCTTCTGAGGCCCGGCTGGGGCTTCTCCCATCTGCCTTGCCCCCAGCTGTGGTGCAGAGTGGTGGAAGTGTGGTTCCCCACCCAGGCTCCAGTTCCACGGGACACTACACTGGGACACAAGTAACCCCCTCTCAGGCACAGGGAGACTCTCTTAGATTGCATTTCATTTCAAAGACAGAGTGACAGCGACAGAATGTCTCTGGCTTTCTGCCCTAAATAGACTCAAGGATCCCGGCTGGGCCAGGCCGAGACCAGGATCCTGGAGCTCCATCCGGGTCTCCCACGTCAATAGTAGGGACCCAAGCACACAGGGCCTCCTCTGCTGCATTAGCCTGGAGCTGCATTGGAGGTGAACAGCAGACACCGACCACCAGCTTCCAGGGGCAGGCTCCACAGTGGGCCTGGGGCAGTGCCTGGCCCCTACAGCCGACTGGACGGTAACAGCGCCACCTCCTGGTAGTAATGGGAACACAGGTGCAGGTAGGCTCCGAGTTCCCCTGGCTGGCCCGGCTGTCTCCACTCGTGGCATCCCTGGCCCATTCCCCACCAGGAAACCTGCAGGACCCAATACACACAAAGGGCTGTGCCATGCACTACAACCCTCACTCCTGCACCTCTGCAGGCCCCAGAAGAACATCCTGGGCCCCTTTCTTATCCCAAACCTCCTCTGCCCCCACCCCAATCCCAACACCCCCAGCCTTCACATCTGGACCCCTCGCCTCCTGCACTCACACCTCCCAGACTGCCTCTCTGGGGATGGGGCCTGTGTCCTCCATGTGTCCCTCCCCCCTCCCCCAGGACTGGTTCAGACTGCTTCCTGTGTAGGTCACTCTGTCTCCTGAAGGGCCTGAGCTCATCTCTGCACCCAGTGCACCCTCAGGACACCAGGGACAAAGGCAGCCTGGTTCTGTCTGGCCACCACGTATGGGGCCTGGGACCTGCCCCAGGGGACGCCAGACGCAGACACACGGGGATACCATGTGGCCTCCTGGGCTGTACTCAGGGGCAGTGCCACACCCAGGCTGCCACATCACAGCCTCCATGCTATTGGCAAGGAAGCCGGGGACAGAGCCCAGCCTGGGACGTCCAGGGGGGCAAGGAGAAGAAAGGACAGCAGGAGGTGGAGGCCCTCTTTCTCCCCAAGGTTGATTGTGACAGGGGGCTCTCTTCCTCCCGCTCTCCTAACTGCCAGGGTTAAGGCCAAGGTGGGGTTAGGCGAGAGGGCCAATGGCTGCAGTAGTCCGCTCTCCCTGCAGTCCCTGGGTCCCCTCCCCGGATGCTGCACGACTTTGGGATTTGGGTGGCTGGACCGCGGAGGAAGCTTCCAAGCCTTCTCCCCATGACCCCTGTCCCAAGCCCCCTGCCGCCCCGCCGCGACCCTCACCAGCGCAGGATTTGGACCTCCAGATCTTCCCCAAGAGCAAAATCATGGCCAGAAGGTGGCTCAGGTCGCCCAGGATCCGGAACACGTTCATGGTCCAGCTGCCGACACCGCGGCCGCGCCCTGCAAACTTCCAGGAAACTTTCAGGCGCGCACTCGCACACGGGCCTCCGGAGCCACGTCCCCGACCTGTCGCTGCCCGGGCACCCCCGGCCTGCCAGCGCCTTCCGGCTCTGTGCTCCCGGTCCCGCTCCGCGCTGTGCCTCCGCCGCCAGCGAACCCTGTGCCCCTCGGTGACGTGGCCAGGCCGGCCTCGGGCGCGGGGTGGGGAGCCAGGAAGCTGCGCCGCCGGGATCCCGCCTTCCGTCCATTCCAGCGCCGGACTCCGGGAGGCGGGGCAGCGAGAGAGGCTGGGGGCTTCCGGTCTGCTCGCAACCTCACTGCCCAGGAGCTGGGCCCAGCCGGGTCAGGCCCATGAGGTGCCTCAGTTTCCCTCTGTGCCCAGGCTTCGTGGCGTGGGGCCAGGGCTGGGGGGCGAGGGGCGGGGAGGGGGCACTAGTACCCACTGACCCATTACTACTAAAATCCTCCCCAAGAAGTGGACCTTGGCCAAATCCCATGCTAACTGGGGGGCCACCACTGTCCTCACCTGACTCAACAGAAGTGGGCCATTGCAGTGATGGCCCAGGGCCAGCCTCCGGACTACCGGCCTTCCCTTTCCTTGGCCTCCAGCTCTGCCTGTGAAAAGGGACTGCTGAGAGTAACAGAGATGGGTCTGTGTGGAGACTCGGGGACCTCATCAGCACCTCCCTCCTCTGGCTCCCAAACCTGCATTAACGCCAAAGGGCCGACAGAAAGAGGGGAGGGGCAAGGGGCTTGCTCAGGCGTCCCAGGACCGAGTGGCCTGAAAGGTCAGCCACCCTCTGTGGACACCCATGAGGGTGAGTGGCAGGGGGCTGACATGGTGGCACAGCAGGTAAAAACCAATACTGTCATGCCAGCATTCCATGCAGACACCAGTTGGAGTCCCAGCTGCTCCATTTCCCATCCAGCTCCCTGCTAATTGTGTGGGAAGGCAACAGAAGATGACCCAGGTCCCAGGGCCTCTGCATCCACATGCGAGACCTTGTCTCCAGACTTAAAGAAGCTCTTGACTCCTGACCTCTGCTTGGCCCAGCCCAGACCCCACCTTTACAGCCATTTGGGGAGTGAACCAGCCGATGGAGGCTCTCTCTCTCTAACTCTGACCTGCCCAGGCCCCCTTCCCTCCCTCCTGGGCTCCTGTCACTCCAGCACGCAGGAGCCTCCTTAGCCTGCCAAACTCCTCCCCGTGGGCACCAGTTATGTCACTGCTATCAGGAATGTGCCCTTCCTCCTAGGGAAGGACATGGTTGAAGAGCTGCCAGTCAGAACTCATGAGAGACGCTAACTAACCTCTATGCACATGGGGGAACTGAGGCATGGAAGGGTTCATTTGCTTGAGGTCACACAGACACTGGTAGTCCTGGAACCCGGGCTCCAGCACGTGATCTGGCCACAGCAAACTCTGAGCTTCACTGAGCAGGTGCAAGTGGTGCCCACTGGTCCGGGGTTCACTCAGCTGGATGCTCACCTTGCAGGTGGGAGGTGCCAAGGGTCACGGAGGTGAGATCATCCCGTCCCTGAGCTGTGGCAGGTGCCCCACCCAGCCCTCCCCCAGCTCTGCCCAGATGCCTCGCTTGCAGCCAGAGAAGGCGGTGGCTATTTAAATCCTCAGGTGTGGCTGCGGTTCCCCACCCAGCCAGCTGGTATCACCCTCCTGACGCCCACCTCCTCTCCAAGCCCAGGAAAAGCACGGGCATTTGCCATTTGGGGAAACATCTGTCCCCCTGGGAAGCGGCCCCGACTGTCACTGGGAAGGCTGGCATCCTCCCCTTCCCTTTGTTTTGCCCGGGGAAGACCGCGAGAAGACTGGCCAAGACTGGGGGGCCTCGGCAAAGTGCTCAGAAGCCAAGCTGGGTGGTCCTAGGACCTGGGCCTTGCCAACGTGACCTGGAGCCTTTCTTCTGTGGGCCTTGGCTGTCCGCATCTGTGAAGTGGGGACATGATGACAGAAGTCTTGTTGGCGTGCCAGACAGTTAGCAAGCCTCCTTTTGCAGGTGGGGAAAGAGAGGTTCCACCTTCTCTCCCCACTCCTCTGAGCTCACAGACGACCCAGTCCTCAATCCTGTGCTCCAGGGTCAGCCCCATCACCTCCACGCACACCTCTTGGCTCTCACCCCCATCAGCCTCCAGACCACCCCCCGAACCATCATACAAGGTGTTCCCAGCTCTGTCCCAGGTACACAATTTCAGCCGTCCCTCATCACCGGGGTCACCCAAGTGTAGACCCAACACCGACCACACAGGGCAGCTACCAGGTCAGGATTGGCTGCAGGTCTGCAGCACTGTGTAAGGAACAGGCCAAGCAAGCAGTGCCAGGTCCCCAGGCAGAACTTCAAGAGAGCAGCTGAGTAGGCAGGGAGCTCCCACGACCCAAGAGTGGTTCAGAAGATGCAGGTCTCCTGGGCCACAGGAAGTGGTGTGTGTGTGCACACGACTTGATCTGGGCAGTGGTGACGTGGGCTCCCTACACGTGTCATGTCATAGTGCTTGGCGCTGCACTCTTGAGTAATTTTGAGCAATTTGCATGCAAGAAAAAGCAACCCCTCATGCCTCCGGGGTCGCCAAGACCCCTCCTAAGCGCCCCGCGGCTGGCCACAGGTGTCTTCCGGAGACCCCACCTGCTTGCCACTCTCGGTTCTTGCGCCAAGAGTCGTGCGCCGCAGCGCGGCGCGCTCGGGCCTGACGGGGTTCCCACGGCAACCGCAAGCAGCTCTCGGCGGCGTCTCCGGAGTGATGGACCGAGCGCAGGCGAAGACTCGGAACCGAGAGTCCTGGGGAGCGGAACCCCATAGCGAAGCTGGCGAGAGATCTGGCCGATCAACGGGCGGGCAAGCGAGCGGGCAGGGCGCCCGCGTCCTTGCGCTGGCATTTTGAGGACATCTGGCGAGTGCCGCTGCCCGCTGCTGCTTGCATGCACGCCTGAGGATTCATTTCATCAGCTGTCCATGTGGGGAGGCAGAGGGCTTGGCTGCTCCCCAGTATCACAGGGCAAAGGCAGGGCAGAGCCAGGCCCCTGTGCCCTGGCGACCAGGTGGAAGGCACGTGGGGCTGGAGGCTGGCCGGGCCTGAAGTTCTGGTCCCAGCTGTGCCCATGCCTGCCTGCCTGCCTGCCTACCATGTGGTCTTGAAGTCCCAGTCTCCTCTCTGGGTCTCACCACCACCAATATCACCAGCAGCTGTTATTAGATGTCTGAAGCAGTGAGCGGAAAGGCTGCTTGTAAAACTGCAGCTTGCTGGGTGTGCTGCCAGGGGCACCCCAATTGTTCCCCTTGCATCATCTTGTCCCCTATAGCATCCCAGCCCTCGGTGGCCTCCCACAGGATGCTCACCCTGGGGTTTCAGATCTGCAGACCCAGAGCTTGCAGTCTGCAAGCGATGGTTGGTGTCACTTCCGTTCCCAAGCATCATCTGGTGATCGGACTTAGAGAAGTCCTCAAGGACCCTATCTCCCATTCACCTGCCTATTCACTTCCTCCTCTTCCTCCTCCCTGAGGAAGACCCCCACTAAGTGAGACTGCCACGAGGACATGGCTCCCCTGGACAGAGCCCATTGAGTGTCACCGCCACTGAGGATGTCAAACACCGGATACATGTTTGCAGCAGCAGCTGGGCATGTGTGGATGTGTGCATACATCTGGAAAGCACACATCGGTATGTGTGTGTGTGTACGGGCTTGGGGTGATGTCATGTGTGCATCTGTATGGCTATGTGCAGGTGTGTGCTGTGCATTTGTGGCAGATGTGTTTACCCAGGCACCTGCTTGTGGGTGAGTGTCTAGGTAGGCACGTAGGGGGCTGTACTGCAGCGTGCACAGGTGCAGGTGTGTAATGTAAGGGTGGCAGTGAGTGGTGCATGTGTGTGGGTGTGCTGAGGGTCTCAGGGATGGGTGCTGGCTGTCCCCCTCTCCTCTCACCTGGTGACCTTCCCCTAGTGGAGGATAGCCAGCAGCTGAGGTCACAGGCATGCCCGGGTCAGCACCGACCTGCTCCATGGATCTGTGGCTGCCTGGGAGAGCACACAGGGCAGGGCTCCTGTGCCACCCTCCTTGCCTGGCCTCCTCCCCTCCCCTCAGCAGGAGCATCAGCGGGAAAGGTTGGCGGAGGGGGGCTATTTTGGGAGCGTCTCCTTAGCAACAGCTGCCGCGGCCGTCTGTGGCGGTTTTTCTATAGGTGCTAAAATATTCCACCCTGGTGACAGTGCTGAGGGGTGGGCGGGGGGGGAGGGGAGGGATGGAGGGCAAGAGAGACCCCTGTAGGCTGGGTCCTGACCCACTGGACCCTGCCCAAGGTCCCTTCCCTGACCCTTTTTCCCCATCTCTGGCCTCACCCCCTCAGAGCAGGGGGGAGGGGAGCTCCGAGGGAGGCCAGCTGTGTCATGGTCTGATTTCTGCTCCAAGCAGCTGGTTCCCCTGCAGGGCAGGCTGGGCTGCACCTCAGAGGCAATGTCTGCACTGCAAACCACTGGGCTTGTATCCCGTGGTCCCATACCACCTCCCCTCCTCCAGCTGTTTCACCTTCCTGGCCCCTGGTCGCCTCCCGCCACTGCCCAGCCCTGTGCCCAAGCTCCCAGTGAGAGACCTAGTCCCTAGAGTATCCTGGTTATCAAGTACCCGCTGGCCGGCTGGCCAGCCATGACTCCCCAGGAACCTGTTTGAATCCTGACACAGACCCTTGCGTCCTTCCTGAGCAGGGACCCTGGCCAATAGCATCCTCCGTGTGCCAGCTCAGCATCTTCACCAGTGATGGAGGGGGCCTTGGCCTGCACTCCCCCACCGGGCCTCCGCGTCCACTGAAGGGCACCCAGACCATGTCACCCACAACAAGCCTACCTGTGCCTCAGTTTCCTCACTGGTAGCAGTGGCTGTGAGGGTCTCCTGGAGATGTGGGCTAACAGCAGGGTTCCCGTGGCACCTGGCTCACCCCATCTGTGCAAGGTGATGACAAAGTGCACCTGCACTGTGGTGATGCACTCCACTTCGTCCCATCTTACATGTCCGGCACCCATT